CGACTTTATTTAGTCATCACCTGATGATGACTAAATAAAGTCGAAACGTTGAATCAAAAATGTTGTCTTTTTTCGGAGTTACCGTCGTTGTGTAGTTCACATTTCTTCCTGTAGTAACACTACACCAATAAAGGATTGCCCTTACTGGACCTCTGGGGAGAACAGTTTAGAATTGTGGCCATCCAGTAAGTAAGCTTTATATGCTTACATGGTTTGAGACCAACTTCATCACTTGATCTTGAATCAGAGATTTCAGGGGGGAGACAACGATGGTAACTCCATTAGAAATAATAGCAGGTAGCTGATAACAAAGACTCTTGCCTCCCCCGGTTGGCATGAGTATGAAACAATCTTTATCGAGCATTGCAGCCGTGATAGCCTCGTGTTGATTGGAACGGAAACATTTCAAACCGAATGATCGCCGTAGAGCCCGATTCATCTCAGCAGTGAATGCATAGTCCGTTCTTTTGAATTCACCTGAAAACATTAGCCATAAGTTGATTCGTGAGTTACAGTGAGCGTTTCAGGGCAGCAGATGGGGGTCAACTTACAAGAGCACGCAGATTAAACGTTATATCGGATAGCTTTCGTAGCGGCGCGAAAACGCACCTCTCCGATACGGAATGTACAACTTTGAGAAGCTGAGCGAAACAACATCTCTCCGTTGCAATAATTCATCTGAAAATAGCGTTCATAAAGGTCGGAAAGATGTATTTTTACGTCGCTACAAAAAGCTATGCGCTACAGTATAAAAGTTGCCCAAATTTACTTCCCATCCCCAATTTTGAGGAATTTGGAGTAACCGCGTCGTCAACGTTGTGACATTCTTGTTATATCGTGACTGTATCAGACTTGTTAGAACAACCTTGTAACAAGTCTGATAATGCCATCAAGCTTGTTACAAGTTAGTTGTAAACAGTTTGTTCCAAACTTGTTCCAACAACTGGGAACAAGCAGTGCGAACACAACTTGTCGACAGCTTGTGAACAGATTTGTAACAACTTGTTTGCAGACCTGTAACAACTTGTGCGTTTTTACGTGTGTATAGAATACTACCTAAACTGGACATCCACATTTCAGATATCCTGTTCAGATACCCTGCGATCAACAGTCTGCGATCAACAAACTCTAATTCTATTTAAAGTGATGTCAGAAAACCAGTTGCTGCAGATTTTGCCAAGAAGTTTCAGTCGCACAAAGAGGATTCAAAATATGTGAGATATACTATATAGACCTGTAACAACTTGTGCGTTTTTTACTTGTGTACTTACTTCTGTATCCATCGTCAGGTAACGAATTACCAGTCTTCTTTGGTGGAGTTTTACGCGGTCCAGCATTGGACGATCTTTCATTGGTGCCCATATTCCTTATTGTGGAGGTACTACTGCTGCCAGTCCTAGGAGTTACCTGCTCACAACCCCGTGAATTGAATGCCAGTGGAGTAGAAGATTTACTTAGATTAGGGCCAGGACAACGGGGTGGAATTTCATCATCTTCAACATCAATAATATCTGGTAGATCTTGATTTTGAAACGCAGGACTACTCGTCTGCCATTTTGACGATACGGGGGTTGCAAAGTTAGAACTTTCTTTAGCAGGTTGTAGCATAGAATTCCTCTGTAGGTTAGCAGTGTCTTGTGGTAGAGTATAGTTCCTCTGTGAGTCATCGCTGTCTCTAAATTGTTGTAACATGGAAGAGCTCTTTCGTGAAACGGGAGGAGATTCATCAAAGAAACTTTCCCCACAAACTGGGAAATCGCTATCATCAGAAACACGCCTGGTTGAGGTATTATACGGCGTAGATTGCCCGCCATTAACAGTGATATTCTGTGATAATGAAGCTAGATAAGTACATAAAAGTATAACATGAAATTGGGATAAACATGTTGTCTACGAATCACTTGGCTAAGGGCCTTTATCAAAGGAGTTTTTAATCAATTTCTGGCAGTTCAGACACAAATCACGGATTTTGACCATCCAAATATTGGCTATTTGGAACTTCGCTGTCGCAATCGTCAGAGGAAGCACCTTTTACCTCTGAGTTCGTGGGTCTCGTGACACTTATGTGAAAGGAGTCGGCCAACGCAATACCAAAATTTGTGGGTTTTCTCCAGTGTGGTAACGAGTAGAGTCATTGATTCGGACTCGAGTCGACTCAAGTCGCAATTTTCTGCGACTCGACTCGAATACGGAAAATGCCTCAACTTGAGTCAACAGCTCCAAATGACTCAACTTGAGTCAACAGCCCCAAATGACTCAACTTGAGTCAACAGTCCCAAATGACTCAACTTGAGTCAACAGCCCCAAATGACTCAACTTGAGTCAACAGCCCCAAATGCCTCGGACTCGACTTGTTGATGATTTCTGCCACAAATGACTCAGCTGAGAGCTCAATTCTTAGCTCTTACCGTTTCTATTCAAGGTAGAATTTTGATTTTGTGAGATGGAGAGACTCCTTTGTTTCATTCTTGCGCTCAGTCGCCTATTCTCTGCTCGCAACCTATTCCTAAATATGATGAAGAAAATTAATGTTGGAAATTACCAAGAAATAGGTAGGTTTCACTATCGGGCAGTAGGTGGTGGTCAACCTACAATCATTCTATTGCTTTACGTGCACTAGGCTGGGAACCACTCAAAACAGAAAGGAAGAAAGCTAAGGCAAAAATGATGTATAAAGTCAGGGGTGCAAAAAATAGGCGAGCATGCGAGCACTGCTGGCAGGAAATGTTAAACAGCTGCAGGCAATTATTTGGAATGAAGATTTGCTTTTAAAAATTTGAAGGAAACCTTAACACCCATGTCCCACTATGGGCGCAACAACATATGGTTCGGACAGACATTATTTCTTGAATTTAAAACCATGGTCAGCTAGAATACTATATGTTTATGCACATGCAGATTTAGCACAAAAATACTCCGTTGGTCTGCAGGAAATCTTTGTCTCCAGGTTATGCTCCCAGGAAGAAAATTCTTTTTCCCTGCCCTGTATAAAGTGTTAAATAAAATGGGTCCCGAGTCACTTACTATATTTTTTCATAAAAAGGGAGAAAACAAACTATACAACCTTCGGTGTGAAAACCAACCTTTTATGTCAACCTTAATACATTGTTTTTGCAAAACGTTATTCGCAAAATGGATGATTTTGCGTTCGCAAAAGGCAATTTTACATTCGCAAATTGCGATTAGTGAGGCTTTAATTCGAACCCTGTGAATATTTAATTCAAGATAACATGCCAAATTTGGATTATCTTTTTTTTCTACACCCTGTATATACTGTCTCAAACCCACAAACACTGTAATCACAATCATATCATCACAACTTGCCTCGCAATTTGACTTTTCTTATACGAGTCGTATTTCTCTTTGCCCAGAACGTTCTGTAGAAAATCATCGTCCAGAGTCTTTAATGTGTCTGCAATTTCTTCCAACACTAAGACATAGTCGGCAGAAGATTTCTCAAACTTTGTCCGAAGGTCATCTGCCGGCACTTGCGACTGTTCACAGTTTGCCTGCAGATCATCGGCTGGTAATCTCTGAAGTTCCTCGCCTTGTATTTGGGACTGTTGAAGATTAGTCTGTAAAAATAGTCAAATTTTAAAGAAGTTTATTATTATCTCAAATTCTATAGAATTGTGGTATTCAGGGCTCGAAATAGCGGGCTGCCAATGGCCAAAAGCAGGCCATATTTTAGAAATGCAGACAAAAACAAACTTCAACTGCCAAGTAAAAAAATGCATGTCATGAAAACATTGATTTTTACAATATGATTCATATGAGACATCGCCATTTTGCCAGTTCAATGAATAAAAATGGCAGACTAAAATTTATTTCACCTGGAAAAAAAATTTAGACTGGCTGACCATATTTTTTCTCTACTTCGAGCCTTGGGTATTTCTTCTTTATCCGACTCGAAACCGAAGACATAAATCTACTTACTTCGGTGGACAACGGACACTCATTCTGGCTTACTTTGGCTTCTGGAAATGCTTCAGACACAGGAATATTACTAAATAAAAAATGGGAAAAAATACTTCTATCAGATAGTATACATTTAAACTTCGCAATGAAATAAAGCAAAGGTTTCATGAGCATAAGAAAATAAATTGGTTTCTTCGAAATTTTTAATATTTCTTTATTGAGTTTCTCACTCTATGGTGAGTGGATGTCCCAACAGGCTATATTGTGCAATTGATAGGGGATCCAAGGTACCTACGATTTAACGTCCTTATCCGAGAAGACGCGAAAGTCTAACCATTTACTGATATCAGTGTAAAGGTACCTTTCTCCTTAGTTATTTTAAGACCTTGAGTAGAGGTCCGACCAAGGACTGAACCCGGCTCTCCCAGCTTGAAAGACAAGCGTGGTGAACACGACACTATACATGATGTGCTGGCCTGACTTACTTGTCAATGTCTATGTCATCAGTGAAATGGGCTGGAGAGTTGTTCGGTGACAAATACTCAGGAGAACGTGGACTTGGTATGTTGAAATCAAAATCAAACTAAAACACATATTAGGAAAAAAAACATGGGGTATCACATGTATTAGTGAAAAAATAAATAAACATTGTGTTTAGATGTAATTTATAGGTGTGGCACCTCTGGATCTTGTGCATATTCATTGTTATCTTCAAATTCATTATCGTCTTCATCTTGGTAATTAAAGTCATCTTCATCACAATTAAAAAGGTTTCCTACACGTGAAAACATGTAAAGAATATGCTGTTGAATCAGCAATCAATATCAAGTACTATCATTTACACGCGGTTCAATTTTAAAACTCCGTTGAAATGGATGAGAGTTAATGAGAGTTGCCGCTCTCGGTCGCGTTTGACCGCCAAGTAGAGCTCATCTCTCATGAACTTTAAACTGGTTCAAATTTTGACGAATGTTCATGTGTACGAGTTTTTAGTACAGTACGTGTGGTAACATCCAGTCAACTCTCATGCAAACTCTCGCTCGTCAACTCTCATGCAGATTTTCCCTTCTCAACTCTCATGCAACGCTTGTTGTCGATTGACTGCAGCAATATAAGAGTTGAGAAAACTCTCAAGCAAATTCTCCCTTCTCAACTCTCATGCAAACCGGGTCAATATAAGAGTTGAGAAAACTATCATGCAAACTCTCATCAACTCTCGTGCAACTCTTCTGAACGGGACACGAGAGTTGAGAAAACTCTCATGCAAACTCTCGCATCTCAACTCTCATTCGACCAATACTTGACCAAGGCCTAACTTTACGAAGACAGAAAACGTGTAAATCTGCAATCCTGGAAAAAACTTCGTAGACTTTTTGAATTTCCAAACTTTGCCCCCCCCCCCGTCCTACAATGTTGATAATTAAATATGTGTTGCAAATCCACGTTATCTGAACCAACATTGTTCTGGGGGGTGAAGAGTGGAGAAGTTCAGGGCAAATAGTTGGCTCGATTGAAAAAATACTCATGTTTTCATTACACGTCTTCAAATTTGGATACACTTTTCAAAAAGTCTACGGATATTTTTTCCAAGATTGTGGTACCCAAACACACCAATTAACTGATCATCATCATCACCATCATCATCATTCTGCATTGTTTTAAGGCGTTTAAATTCATTTCCTTGATCATCAAGACCTACATCATCAAATTCACTGAAGGTTCGTTTGGATGGTATCGCGTTTTCCTTTTCCTGAAAACGAGACATTGTAGAATCAACGATTGCATCTTCCACCTTGTACGGGCATCCAATAAAATTTACCTCGTCGGAAAATTCTAGGAAGTTTGATTTCGAATTTTCGGCTTTCACTGGTCTGCGAAAAGGTACAGAGAATAATTTATTAAGAATATTAATAAGCTTGGTAGAAGACTTTGACCACAAAACTTAGCATCCCAGAAACAAAGATATTACTTTCTGCTTTGAAGAAGCTTAGCTAATTTAACAACTTTATTGGAAC